AACTACGTGGGGGAATTTCCCAAGATGACGTCATCACCCAGTCAGACAGGCGCTGGACCTCCCCCCCCCAAAAAAAAATTTTGATTCCTGACAGCTCTGACGTCACTGACATCATTCGTAGAGACCTAAGGTCAAATTCTGCCAAACACAACAGAGCCGTTACATTATTGGTTGTAGCTGTGTAAGGAAATTATCAATATTTAAACTGAGAATCGTATGAAATCCATAAATCCAGTCTGTGGGTAAAATTCGGAAATACTTAACAGAAATCAAATGGTATATATAGTAAACACTAGGCTTGAAAGGGTGAATATATATTTTTTAGAAGCTTCCTTCAAAAATTAGAGTTACGAAAAAATTCAACTTTAATTTGGCCCAAAAAAATTTCGCCCACTCCTCGAAACGACATTCTGAATACGATCTTTTTCATGGTCTGATAAAGTGTAAACCTGAAGTTTGGACAACACTGTGAGCCAGCAAGTGGGTTTGATTCGTATCGCTTATTTTATGATTAACTAAGCGCAGCATGTTTGCATGTTTGACACTCTTTGATAACACGGTTCACGTCTGTAAGTGGCATGTATTGTTACTCAGCCGTGACGTCCGGCCCACGTGTGCATTTTTATCGTCGTACATCGTTTTGTGATGCCTGCATGACACGCATTTTACGGGACAGTTCGGTGCGCAACCAAGTGGCCCATCTCACTTCAATGTACACTTCGTGGACCTATCAACCCAGAAAAAAATATATTAAGAATAAGTGGAAGACAAAGAGGTGCAGAGAAACATAATAAGCAATGTAACGTTGAGATCACTGAGAAATGATGAAAAAGAATGGACTTCGTTCATACGGACGAATGGATGCTGTACGGGAGAAAGGACAGAGTAGGGCTATAAGGAAAATGACTAAGAATGAGAGAAGAAAGCAATGGAATAACAGGAAGAGAAGGGCGGAAGAAGGAAAGTTTAAAACTATGGATGAAAAAGATGAGCTAGTTCCAAGTAAAATTTCCGACACAGAACTACTGAAACAAAGAAGAAGAAAATAACGGGACAAAAGACTAAAAACAAATAGTTGTCCGTACTCCCGGAATTATGGAGCCAGGCAATGTCAAACCACTTCTGGATCATCTGCCAAGAACGTATATGAACAGGTCCCAGTCCGAGAAAAGGATGGAAGGATCCTGTTCATATGGACCTGTCGTCAGACAGAACACTAAATAAATAACTCCCGGAATTACAGGGGAGACTCCCCTGGAAGCCAAGCCACCCCCCCCCCTTTTCCTGAAGAAACGATGTAAATGCATTATCGCCGATTCCGTCCTATTACGTCCCCAGTGAGGGTGTTGCAAAGCGACACGAGGGGGATGCATCAGGTACAGTACAGCTACACAGAAACGCAACACAGCAGTTTCACTGTGTGTAACGCCACTACCATGTGCATCGAGAATGTAGTCGTCAAGCGACTGGTCGGCCAAGGTTCGATTCCTGTGGGTCGGTGCCGTCTTCTGTCCAACTGATAACGGTGGCCTCTTTCACGGGGGATGAATAGGCCGGAACATAATCACATTCGGCACCTCCAGAGTACAATCAACTGACCTTCGTTCCGTGAGTTTAGATGTCATCTTTGAACTTCGAAGGGGTGAGTGATTATTTATTGCATTTTGCGCAATATATATTCTATTACCCGTCAAAAACAATACTTCATATTTTTAAATTTAAAATGTGACATGTAGTACCCGACGTAATACGTGCTGATGACGGCATAAAAGTGTTGAAACATGTAACACTGGAAGATCAAACTGCACATTTCACAAATACAAAATGTCGTATTTGTCGGATAATAGAATAGCTTAAAGGGGAGAGTGGCTTTCCAGACACACAAAGGCCTAATATATTTTGCTGAAGTGGATTATTTTAACGCAGTGTAATTACATGCAGAACTGAAGAAAACCACGAAAAATGTCAAGAATATGTAACACGAGACCTCTGTAATAAGAAATACTCAAGGCCGTGGTAGAGT